ATAGTTTAAAGACTTGAAGGGCACTGCTTGCTGGGTTGTGAGACAAGGTGGTCTTTTTGTCACTATACCTACTTTTCCCACATAGGGTTATGTGCGAGACTGTGCAGTGCCACGTCTTTTGTGCCTGCCTCTTTCCTTGTAGATGCTCACAGTGTGCACTGTACAGTTCTAAGAGACACTGTGTGCTGAGTGCCTGCAACTACCCAGCAGTGCATCCAGGGCCAGCGCCTCTCGCTCCTGAAGGCCAAAGCATCAGCCAGGTCTTCAGGGCACATGGACTCTGCTCTGTGGCCAGCCTCTTCCCCACTGCACTGTCTTCCCTGGCTGCTCTGACTCCAGATAGGATGGCTGCACACACCACTCCTGTGTCTCTTTGGTGGCTGGGTCATTCCCTTGGTGTCAGTTTCCTCACAAATTGAGATGTCACATGCATATAGAGAAAAGGTTGCTGTGGTTTGCTACTCTAGAGGGTGGGCTTTGTTGTGTTGCTCTAGGCCTTGTGGGGGCAGCATATCACTGTGGAGCATGCATGGGGAGCAGGACCCCGCACTCACACAGAACAGGGAGGCAGGAAGAGGGAGTGGGGTCCTGTGTCCTGTGAAAGGCCATACCGCCACAAGGTACTGGACCCACGCTGGGCTTCACTCCTAAGTCCTACTACCTCTCCATGTTACCACTCTGGGAACCAAGCCCATAACAACCAGGTCTGGGAGGGTCACACCATATCCAAGTGTGAGCCCATTGTGTAGCTTTCAAGCTGACTTCCCGTTTCCTGCTGATGGACACAGGAGAGAGATCCAGTTTGTGCCTGCTAGGAACAAAGAAGCGGGGAGCATTCTTGCGCCCACCTCTCTGGGACATGGACAGACTGGGGTGGTTTGGCTGGTCCACAGGGGTACCTTTAGCTGTGTGTGCTTCTGGCAGCTCCATCCACACCCTCCAGGATGCTGGTGCTGCCTGCCCATCCCTTCACTGTAGCTAAACACCTCCAAAAGGTGGTACCCCTGTGTGGCCCTGGTTTGCACTTTCTTCTTCCTCAGCAAAACCTGTTTAAATCTTCATTCATTTTTAAGAAATTGGTTTGCTTCTTTTTTGCTCTCACATTAATGCATATTGGTTACACAGAAGAATGGGTTTCATCTTGGCAGATTTGTACACACATAACACTCCGGAACCACCCCCTGGCCCATCCTCTCCTGAACTTCACACTCTTTGGAAGCAAGTTCATGCGTGGATTTCAGTCACAGTCCTTTCACCCATTCCCGCCCTTACACTCTCCCCCACGCCCTTATTTCCTCTCCTTTATCTACTAAGAGTCCTTTATTTTCCTGCCATTTTTCAGATTCCACACATTAGGGAGAATGTATGATACTTGTGGGTCTGCCTTCGTGGGCTCAAAATGATGATCTTGTTTTCACCCATTTTTCTGCAAAAGGCAATTGTGTTCCTCCTTGTTTCCGAGGGAACTCTGTTGTATGTGTACATTGTCTTCACCCATCCACATTCCATATTTTGGCTATTGAGTTGTGCCACAGGAAATGTGAGTCTGAGCTCTGTAGTGAGACCCTGTAACAACCAAATACATTAAAAAATAAATGCACCACCTCTGTGTGGTGCAATTGTCTTAGTTGCTTCCAGTACACACTGAGGAAGGAAATTGCTGGGCCGAAGGGTAGCTCTAATTTTAGGGTTTTGAAGATTCCTTTCCCCCTGCATCCTCACCAGCATTTGTTGCTTTTTGTATTCTTGATCATCACCGTTCTGGCTGTGGTGAGATGGAATCAGGTGTAGCTTTGATTTGTATTGTGTTGCTTCTTTGTTCAATTAAAAGGGTACTTATACATGATGGATGTGTATTTATATACAGTAAAGTTTTTCTGGTTTGTAACTTCCTTTTCTCTTGACAGTGGTATCTTTCACAAACCAGGCGCTTGGTTTGTAAAATGTCCATCAGAGGTGTGTTTTTGCTGTAAGAACGCTCTCTCTTGAAGGGCATCTGCCCATGTACTCCTATGTTCTGCCCACATGGTTGCCTTCTTAGCTGCTTTGCTGGTCTTTCTCCTACTGCTGAGAGCTCTGTGTTAGGGAAAGTAGCAGCCCCATAAGGGCCCATATGCTGCAATTTCTTGCATCTTTTTGCCTTTTGTAGTGCTTTTCTGTATAAAATTATATGCGTGAGTCTTTGCAGAGCCCAGCACATCCAGTTCTATTACTTAGGGATTTGAAGCCCTAGGCTTTCCTAGTGATAGCCTAGGGTTGCATTTTTCTCACAGAGATTGCTGTTCTGGTCAGAAGTGATTTGATTGCTGTTCTGGTCAGAAGTGATTTTACCTTGTTTCAAATAATGCTTCTATTGTCCCGGTATCCCATACTAGAAAACCCATGTTTGACCTGAGATGTCAGCTCAGTCTCTAGACTTTTATTATCAAATTCTACATTCTTCCCTGTCCTCCTACTCAGGGTTCCTTCCCTTCCTGGTGCTGTTGCCATGGCAGCACCACTTTCTGAGTTAGGAGCCCCAGCCAAGCTGCAGATGTCTCAAGCGTAGACTAGGGAGCCTCACTGCCTTTCTCCCTCAAGATGCTCCTGTGTACTCTAACTTACACAAAAACTTCAGAGCCAGAAAAGATGCTTGTTGATGTGCAAAATATAGATTTGTTGAGGCCAGTGAGATAGCTCAGTGGACTAAAGCACCTGCTTAGGCAAGTTTAGGCAAGCACAGGAACCGCGGTTCAATCCCCAGCACAATATGCCATGCTAGCCCGTGGCACACACCTGTAATCCCAGCGCTGGGGAGGCTGAAAGCAGGAGGATCACTATGAGTCTGAGCTCTGTAGTGAGATCCTGTAACAACCAAATACATTAAAAAAGAAAAATAGATTGTATTCAATCTCGATACTCACTTGGGAAAAGCTGATGTGTTTATTGAATCTCCTGCTACCAAAATAAGGGGTGTTTATCACTCCAGTTCACTCGGTCTTTCCTGAGTTTGAGATTCTTTTATGTTTTGAAGGTTTGTTTTTCCATGGCAATTTCTCTTGTTCACTGCTCTTATCAAAAGGCTCATCTCTCCCTCCACCCCTCTTTGCTGTTGGCTGATGCTGTTTGTACACAGGGGGCTGGAAAATTTTATATCTTGCTGACTTACAAAAAGTGTTCTTTTTTGTCTGTATTCATCTCAGCATTCATTTTCTTGGGGTATCTAGACATGCTGTGTATTATCTGTAAAAGGAGATCATTTATTCCTTCCTTAAAGGATGGACACTGGCAGATCTCGTCTTTGGAAAGCTATGGTCCTCATCCGTGCCCTTGCATGACGGTGCCTCTTACTGTGCCATGCCTGCATGTCAGCTCCTATGAAGCCCTTGCCAGTGTACTGCAAGTTTCACTCAGCAAGAGGACCCCTATGGTGGCCCTGCTTTGCTGCTCTCAGCCCCTGAACCCAGGTTTCAGGAGACAAGGGCTAGGCTTCTGACACTTAATTCTGCTTGTGCCCCCCCCCCCACGAAGACACTGGGTTGCCAGGCTCTTCTCTGGGGAGCTAGTTCTGGAACCAGGGCTATGCCATTCAGTGCTCTGGTGTCACCAAGAGTCCTCTGCATGGCTTGGGCAGTGCTGGCTGCCCCCATCCAGGAGGTGACCTGGAAGTGCATGGCTGTATAGGAGCCACCCAGGTTCCCCCAAGGCTCTGCAGGGCAGGACACTGCTTCTCTGTGGTCAAGGTCTGATTCAGTACATGATGAAATGGACAGGGTTGCTGGATGGCCCCTACAGTCCTGCAAATGACCCTGTCCACCCATTCACAGATCAAGTCGCTCGCTCCCTGGCACTGGCCCTGTTCTGGTTGGGGGCTCCTGTGAGCAGCAGCGAAAGCACTAGAGGTCACACACCCCAGGGCTCACATGCTGATTCTCTCTCTCCTCTTGACCTGGTGCTGCCTCCACAGCCCCTTCCTGTTCCACACCCATGCTCCTGGATTTGCAGCTTGCTAACTGCTTGGCCCCTGGCAGCCATCCCATGTCTCTGAGCTTGTTTGCCCCTGTTCCTCAGAAACATTTGCGTTAGGGCCACACAGTGTGGGATCCAGGGAGAGCTGCAGGAGTGTGTCCACTGAATGAGCAAGAAAGAATCAGCTGAACTATACAAGCCAGCACTCTAGTGCAGTGGTGGCAAACCAATGCCATGCATGCCACGGAGAGTTGTGTCACTGAAAGCTCTAGAAGAGTCACGATCACCGCTCTAGTGCCGGTTTCACCCTTAAACCTCCAAAGCCTAAAGACCAGGTCTGGAGCTCCAAACACTGGACGCCATGCAGAAGGTCCTGGAGCTATGCTGTTCTGGGAAGAGCCCTGGGCTCCCCACACCTGGCAGAGCTATGTAGATGCTGCCTGGGCACTCAGGACAGAGGAAATTTTCTTCTCTAGTGTGTTTACCTTCCACATGGGGACTTGGAAGCTGGGCTGTGCTGACCTTAGGCCAGCCTCCCAGTGTGAACACACTGCTCCTGCACTCCTCTTGGCCAGGCCGGGGTGACCTTTAAGAGCCTGTTCTAGGAATCAGGAAGTCTGCAGCCAAGGTTCAGGGGGAGTGCCAGGTGCAGGGCCTGGACCTGCTGTACTACCTTGGTACCTAAGAGTGGGTGAGTGGAGGAGGCGCTTCTGCCCAGGGTTTCCATGGAAGCAGTCCCTCCCCACCCTGCAACACCTCTCGTTAACACTGTCAGGCTGGCTCCCCAGGGACACATTGGCAGGCATACCCTGAGCTGTAGCCAGACCCCTGGGTCTGGCTGGCTGCATTTCCAGTGGACTACAGTTCAGAGCAGGCAGAGCCCCCACAGTCCTGTGTCAGGCCTAGAACAGCTGCAACACAGGGTGTGGGGTCCACAGCACTCTGTTCTGCAGGCAGAGCTCTTGCTCCTGTGGTCACAGCAGCTGAAGCTCTACAGGGCATCCCTGGGCTCAGCCAGCAGCCAGGCTGAGGTGCTCCCTTTCTCCATGCAGATCTGGGACATGAGCGACGAGGAGACCATCTGAGAGCACCGCCGAGGAGGACAGCAGCCAGGATGGGTGATTCCAGGCCTGCATGTCCCCTCCCCAAGCCCAAGGACCGGGACCCTCATCCTCATCCTGCATCCTCCTGAGGCGTCACCCTCCCCGTCCTGAGCTCAATAATAACCTTAGCTTTGGCACCACAGCCCTCTGGGCACAGGCCCTTCACGTGCAGTTGTTTTTCTGTTATCACAGGGGTCAAGCTCCCAGGGGTAGCCACACTGAAGGCAGCACCCCTGTGCGCTCCCTCACCTGTAGGTGGGCCCTGGTGGGGAAGTGCAGTGGCCAGGCTGCCTGTGGGCTGGGGGTGGGGTATCTTGTCTCCAGTGGGGAGGACACGGTACTCAGGGCTGCCTGCCCAGCACCAGACGTGCCTGTTCCTTCCACATATCCCTCCTGGTGGCTTCCTCACATTTTGAAGTCACAGTCAAGTCTGGAGCTGCCTCTCACAGCAGAAACACAGTGGATACCGAAATCACCTCCCCCTGCTCACGTGGGACAACTCAGGGTTGCTGTGCCTCCACCCCTGGACGTTGAGAGCCACACACACAGCCGGCCTGGGGTTTAAGAGCACTTTATTATTGTTCTTAAGGCTACTTTTAAGTACAAAAAAAAAGATGGCCTGCCAAACCTTTTTTTTTCTTCTTCTTCTTCCAGGAAAAACAGGCCACAGAGAATGGTATATTACAGATTTACACATTTCAGAGGCGTCAGAACACGCCGCGGATAGCCCAGGTCTGGGGACGGCCTATCCCAGATAGGCTGGCGCGGGGACCCGGCCACCAGCACCACTGTCCCCAAGCAGCGCCCACTCACTGGCCGAGGAAGGGTCCTCAGCAGTGGCTCTGGCCCGCGCTCAGTAGCCTGTAGCAGTAACAAACATGTGGCTATGAATGCGGATGGTGGTCTCAGAGTACCTGTGTTCCTGCACGTTTACGGACACATCCACGACCAAAAAAAAAGATCAACTTTTTTTTCCAAACAACAAAAAAATGAATGATTACGATAGGAAAGGGAAAAATTAAATAGCTACATATCATTAACAAATTAATTGTTCTTCAAAAAATACCTACAAATTTCTCTGTACATTCTTTACGCACAGCGTAATGATGGTCTTAAAGTTACCTATATAAAAAAAAGTGTTCTCAACGATTTTTTTCTCCTACAGAAAATATAGGGGCCTGAATGCCAAAGCTTGGAAGCCCAGTCCAGTGGAGTGACTGTGGCTGGAGAAGGGCTTCCTGCCACCCCAGACGGGTAGCAGCCTGACCAGCATAACCAGGAGAGCCAGACCCAACTGCCCACCCACCCAACTCCCCAGCGGGCCCAGGCATCTCTCCTCCCACGAGCCAGCTTAGGGTTCCTGTGCCCCTCACACCTCACAGCTGAGGTGGCCACACCCATGTCACCCAGTCAGGTGACATCTCGAGGCCCCTAGGGGGCCAGGCTGGACACAGACCCCTGGGGCAGGGGACAGAAACGCTCACTGACCAAGAGGAGGAACAGCTGGGGGGCCCACAGCCCTGTCTGTCGTGGGTGCTTCTAATATCTAATTAGTAGCTGTGAATATGGCAGACGATAAATGCAGCTGTAACTGGATAGTCAGGAATGTACACGGCCTTGGCCCCACGCACCAGGAAGCACACAGAACTCCATGGTGCGGATCAACAGCAGTCTGCGGCCAGCCAAGGAAGCAGGCTGCCCCAGGGGAGCTGGGAGACATCGTCCAGGTCCCCGGGGTGCGTTACCAGGCAGCAGGGATCACAGGGGCAGTGGTGCCGGCCACCTGCAGCCCACGCTTGCTCCTGCCACTGCCTGCCAGTTGTGGCCGCCCGCGCTCCTTGTGAGTAGAGTATCAAATACAGAGCTCAGAGTACAACTGTACCAGCAGTAAGTAGATCTAGGACTGGGACTGACAAACTAGTTCTGAAAAGAAGCCATAAGTACTCAGGGTTGCTCACTGTCTATACAATTAATAGAAACCAGCTATTTTTTTCCTCCATTAAAACACGAGTCCTCTTTAAAGCACTACGGCGCCCTCGACTTCAGGCTCCAGCAGCTGCAGTGGTCCCAGAGGGTGAATGCCCATGTGGCGGAGCCTGTGACCCAGGTGCAGCCCCAAATCCAGGGAAGACTGCAGCCTGTGTGGCGCCCCAAGCTCCTCTAACCTCACTGCACCCCGACACGGAGGGTCAGGAGCAGCTGGCCGCCCTGCGGTCCCAGAACTTTGCCCTCAGGGTGCCAGCATCCAGCAGCAGCTGCCAGGCAGAGCCCCCCTCCTCCAATAGTGCAAATCAGACACCACACTTCTCTTCAAGTATACACACGCACACACACGCACACACACTCTGGGCCTTGGGAAGCACAAGAGAAGAGCACAGAGCGCCGGGACCCCCGAAGTCATCATGGCTTGTGGCTGAGGACGATGGAGTCCTGACCGGCCGCACACTGTGCCAGAGGTTTCTTTGGTAACCGAGGCAGGAAACAAGCGCCACAGAGAACGCCCGCTGACCTGCGCGCCGCCTCCTGGCACACTGAGGGACCCTTGTGAGGACACCAAGCAAGTATGAGACAGAAGAGCACAGAACTCCATAGCACAGGGTTGTGGACAGACCACCCCTTCCCTTCCCCCGCCCACCCTACAATTTTTTTTTTTTTTTTTTTTTTTTTTTAAAGTACGGACTGTTCAAAGCTGAGGCAAACCATGCAGACGGGCGTGGTGCCGGGTGCCCTCAGGAGACCACGGACGGGGAGTGGCCGTGGCTAACCATGTGGGCGGAGGGACTAGCCGACTGGCCCCGGCGTGAGGCCGACTCAGGGCTGCTGGATGCGCCGTCCTTGGCTGCCTTGATCTGCAGCCACGTGTCACCCAGGGCTTTGGCAAAGTGGTCATCCACAGAGCCAGTGATGGATACAGAATTGGGTGCAGGCTCCGGCTCCTTGTAGTTCTTGCCCAGGCTCCTGCGGAAGTGCTCCTCCACCACGGGGTCACAGGCAGGGGCAGCTGCAGGGAAAATGGGGGAAGGTCACATCTGAGTCTGAAAGGGGTAGGTCCCCACTGCCTTGGCCCAGTGACAATGAGGAACAGCAGACCCCATCCCGTGTGTCCCTCCCCTCCCTGCCAGCCAGGAACGAAGGATGCACTCCAGAGTAAGGCAGCAGCAGCAGCACAGACACTCACTACTGGGTGGTCTCCGGTAGCTGGCGGGCCCAGGTGTGCCGCAGCCACTGTGCGCGATGGGACAATGTGAAAGGTTGCAGTTGCGGGCGCCTGCTGAGGCGCAGGTGATCACAGAGGGCCGGTTCTGCAGGAGGAAGGGTCGGCACTTTAGTACCCATGTGGCCACAGCACCAAGTCCCTAGTGCACATGCCTCTCCTGCACTGTCGTCTTGAGCATAGCATTAGAGTCAGTGAGGGCCAGGACAGGTGCTAGGGGCCAAGTCACGCAGGAGGCAGCCGATGGCAGAAGAGAGCCCAGCTCCTGCTCCTGTAGGCCTCAGGTGGTCTTGGGTCCCAGAGGACCTTCTGGGTGCTCTGAAGTAGGCTGCAGGGTTTTGCTTACACTAAACCAGTTCAAGTTAGGTCCTTCAGATAGTGACCAAGGTTAGATACCACAGCCCCTCAGCCAGTCTAGCTGCTGCCATCTTCCTCCCTCCTGTCACCTCCACGTGGTATCCCACAAATGCCTGACCTCTGCAACATCCTTAGCAGCTCAAGGTGGCATCTGTCTCTTCCCTGCTAGAATCCTGACCAGCAGAGGTCAGAGTAGGGACCCTGCTGAAGAGGGCACCCAGGAGCTCAGGGGATGCCCCACCACAGGGTCAGGGCCGTCTAGAAGTATGAGGCCACCAAAGGCCTAGGCTCGGGGCTCCTCCTGGCCTGAGCCACAGGGACTAGCCCTGGACAGTCACGAACTCTCTGCTGTCACGTGCTGGGCTCTTTGCCCAGGCTGGCCCCACTTGTGACTGACGTAGCCAGGAACTTGGCTTCACTCACAGCCGGGTAACCCAGAGGCCCTTACAGGACAGATGCCACCAGTGAACAACAGGCAACCATTTTCCCTCTGGGTCCCCTCAGCCCTGCCACACCACACCTCTGAAATGCCAATAGGACCCTCCTGGTGCACAATCCAGAGGGTACAACCTCCCTTTGCTGTGGCCTCCAAGGCCACCCAGCCACTCTCTTGGTGTCCTCCCACCTTTCTTCCTCACACACTTCATTGTCCAAGGTGCTGGAGCACAGAACTCAATGTGGGGGTCACCTTGTATCCCCAACAGAGCACCTGGCCATAAGCGGGGAGTACTATGTACACTTGCATGGTGCTGATACCATGTCACAGCAGCCTGCACCTCTGCCCACCCCACAAAGTCCTGGGCTGGAATCTGGGCTGGCCTCTGGGTTAGGGCTTTGCCCTAAACCTGGCAGGACTCCCTGGGCCTCGACAGCCCACACCACTGTCCACACTGGCTACTCACCACAGACAGCAGGCCCTCATTGTGGGGTCCCCTACAAACTTCATTTTTCAGAAGAGATTTTTTTCTACCAAGAAACTATTGTAATAATATCCCTGTCTTCCTTTATTGTATGCTAGTCCAGGCCGCTGACCAACTCATGCTGAAAGGATTCTAGCCCAAAACAAAGGCCCCGCAGTGACCCGTCCTGAGGTACCCTATTCCCACCCTGTTCTGCACAGGTGTGCGTACCTGTTGCCGCTCCACAGGTGTGAGCGTGGGCGAGAGGCCAGCCGCTCTGCTGGCATCCCCACTGCTCTTGGTCAGGGCGAGGGGCTGTTCCACGCCAAGGCTGGGCAGGGACGCATACAGGTGGCCACCATGCAGGCCCATGGTGGGTGCCACGGCACGCTCGATGGGGCTGCGGCTATGCTCCCGGGGGTCCTTCCGGCAGTCTCCATTGGTAGTCTTGTTCCTGGAAGAGAGCAGCAAATCCTTAGGAGGGAACACCTGGCAAAGGGATACTAGCCAGGGCACCACCTCCACATGCCACTTCTGCATGGCCCAAGGCTGCCACAGCCCCCTGCTCAGGGAGAAATCAGAGGGGACCATGTGATACTGTGCCCATCATGTGGGCACTGTGACCAGCACCCTTTCTGCCTTAGGTCCCTCTCAGTGCACCACAGCTGTCTCTCCATAACCAGCAAGCAAGTCTTTCAAATCAAACTGTCAGATGAAGAGCTCTGAGCCTGTTCTTTAAGAATTACCAAACTCTCATCCAGGCATTGTCCCCTCCCTACCTGTGCACATAGCACATGGTAATACTGAGGCAGGGACAAGAGCTCGGCAGATAGCCACCTGTTCAGAGGGTCCTGGGCCTCCAGGCACAGGGCCTGAAATGGAGCAGCGCCCCTGACAGCCCCACTACTTGGTGCTCCACTCGGTGATGAGGGGCATGGGACATGGTACTATGACTCTGTTCTCTGGCTGACTACATGGGATCGTTTCAGAGCAACCAAGAAATAAAAACGTCCATCCCATGAAGCCGGGACTGGGGAGGACATTCTGCCACTAAACAGTGTGTCCCTGCACACCACTCATCCTAGCGATTCTCAGAGGTATAGTGCAAAAGACTCCTCCCAGCACCAACACCAAGGTGTGCACACTTGTGCAGTAAACACAAGCTTGAGACGTGTGCTCAAGGCCTATGGGGTGACACTCCCGCCCCGTGTCCTGTGAGGCCATTCGGGCCTGACACACACTGGCTTCTACCTAGCTGAAGTGGCTCCTGAATACAGGCTCTTAGCACACTGTCACACACCTTTTAGGAGTTGAGTTCCTACTAGTTTGGAGAGAAGTTTACTTTCTAAGTAAACTACCTCCCAGACACAGCGTGGAGTCCACGCTTCCCAGCACCCCAGGGTGCCAGGCAAGTGTCTGCTTACTCAGGCAGTGTTAGTGGAGCCCTGATCCTGTGACAACTACAGAGTGAGATATGGTGCTGATGCAGGGGCAGGAAGCCCAGGGAGGGGCTGAAGTTGGCAAGGACCCTTCCGACACCAGGTGACAGAAGGCACAGGCTGAACACCCACTGTCAAGGTCAGGTGCCTCTCACTCACTTTCCAAGCACAGAGTACACAACCCTGAGTCCAAAATGTGTCACTGAGGAAAGCCATGCTCAGAGGTTGTCAGAGGTCACCACTGCACAGGGCGGTGTCGTCGTGCTCCCCACCGGGCCCCTCAGCAGGCCTAAACAGTTCACAGAACCAAAGCCTCAGGTGTCACAATTTCTCAACCCTGAGAAACACAGAAAAGGTCCCAAGACCTAGGTGATAATCTTAGTAAAATTATACATTACTCACATTTCCAGTTCATCCCACTGCTTCCCAGAGCTTACCGCCTCAGTGAATCACACCGGACCCCAGCACTTCCCAGGGTGTCACAAGCTTTGGGGACAGAAGTGCATGCACTCTGCAGTAGAAGAGGGCTAACTGCACTGCAACCCACTGGGCCCACAGGGTTCACATGGGCTCCATGTCAGGGCGCCCACCCTGCTTACAGGAGTGCTGCCACAGCCAAAGCTCAGGAAAAAAACCTTAAGGGCAGTCAGGGGAGGGGCCAGTACACCTCATCCAGGACAGAATCCTCTGGGGACACAGGCCGCCTGACCCAGAGCACCCTCTGAGTCTGGAGGTCAAACACGTTCATACTGTGCTTGGCATGGTGGCAAATGCCTGTGAGGCCAGCTCTCAGGAGACTGAAGCAAGAAATCACTGAGGGTTCAAGGATAGCATGGACTATGAAGCAAGACCTGGTCTCCAAAAACCAAAACAAGAAGTGCCCACAGTGTGTGAGGGAAAAGTAAACCAGATCCTGGACAACAAAGCTGTGAAGTTCACAGCACGTGCAAGAATGGAAAGGGCACTGCAGAGGAAACGGCCAGTGGACAAACCCGTTTTTAGAAAGAATTCAAGCATCACTGAAAGCATGGAGCTGAACAGCAGTGTAGCATTCCCTCCTGTTAGTCATCCCCTCTGCCTCGCTGGCTCCTCCTCCCTGGTCTCAATATCCCCTGCACCTCCAAACTAGGGACAATTTGCCGCCCACCACAGCTCCCGGTGGGCAGGACAAAGTTCCCAAGGAGGCAGTGAAGCACGCAAATGAACCCCCAGGACACTCTGCTTAGTGCCAGGTCTGGACAGGAAGTGATGGTGAAGGCCACCTCAAGTCCTAGAAGCTCTGGGCCAGGAAAGCATGTCTGTGACCAGCGTAGAGAGGGGCAGGGGGACCCAGTGGCCTGGGGAACTAATGAGGAGAGAGGCCAGAGCTGCCCCTTCATAGTCTGCACAAGGTGCCACCCCACCTGCGCCTCCAGGCTCCACCACCATGGTGCCCTCCATGGCAACTGCCCTCACACCCCTCTAGCAGCTGAGCTGCCACCTGTGTCTCCTGTGACATCCATCCTCCAGTAGCTCAGAGGAGCTCAGGAAAATGTAAATCTCCCCTCTGCTTGAGCACAATCAACCACAGTTGCAAGGTGGGGACCTACCAGCTCCAAGTATCATACCACACTTGGGGAATGCTTCCAACTAACTCAGGTGGAAGCCTCAAGAAAGAGAACACTGATGTTAAATGGTCTGAAAATGACATGGTGACACACACCTGCAACCCCAGCACTTGGGAGGCTGAGGCAGGATGGTCTCTTGAACCACATAGCAAGACCTTGTCTATGAATGAATAAATGAATGAATGATTTTAATTTACAACACCCTGTAATTCAATTCATTCCCGTCTTAGGGACTCAAGTGTCTTCACTGTGTAAATGCTGCTTTCTGATGCAGTGGCCTCCAGGACAGTATTCAGTGGAACCCAGAACCCCAGGGTGTCCTCCCTCTGGCTGCCAGGGAGCTCAACCCTACTAGGAGTGCCCCCCATCAGGGCAGCCTTTATCCCCTTCCTCCTTGTGGTGGGCCAAAAAGCCAAGAAGTCAGGTTTTCCTGATGTGTAAGGAAGAGCAGTCGAGGGGCAGCCTGTGCTAGCCAGAAAAGGCTTCCTAGGCCTGTTCCGCCAGCAGCCACCCACACTGCACCAGCACAGTGGGCTCCTCGAGGTGCCAGCGGCTGGGCTTACTTCTAGGTAGCTCCCCCTGCAAACAAGGTTTTAGTTCGGTTTTCCCCGACTACAGTAGGCCCTGTGTGTGTCCATCAGAGCTGTGACAAAAGGGGAAACAGGTCTGAATGGGAGTCAACCTGTCTGCCCTCCCTGTTGGCCACTGTCACCAGAAAGGCAGGGGTCTGCCCCTACAGGCTGGGGTCCACACGCCTGGCACGCCTTGTTCCCAGATGTCACAATCATGGGCTGCACACATGCATACAAGGGTGAGTGGATACAGTGCTGAGATTAATAAAATATAAACTAATTTAAAATTCTCACTGCTACTAAATCTGTAGTTGTTTTTGTCATCATGTATCCTCTCAATGAATCTGATTTCTAAAAACTACAACCACTTGCAGATTTTTGGCATTAGGCACAAATGGTGGAGGCAGAGAAGGGATGGGAAACATGTTCTCTGGGATCTGAGCTGCCATGTCTGCTAGGGACACGACTGACCCTCAAAGGCCACCTTCCTCTCTGCAGAGCACCACAGTGTCTGTGGGGACCAGCTTTGCTGTCTTAGGGGTGACATGGGACAGCTGAGACACATGCTGGAGAAAGGGGTGAAGAGGTGGTGGCCACTTGAAGCCCAGCGAAGGCTGCTCTCAGGACCCCTATTCTGGGCCCCACCTCCACAGGCTGGGTGAAGCCACAAGACAAGGGACTCAGCAGTGTCCACTGGTGTCTGCCCCAGTGCAAGGCACTCCATCACCTTACAGGTAAGTATATTCTTAGGATATAAGAAGATGACACAGCAGCTTGGGCAGCCAAGGGTCACCTCACTCAAGGGTCCAGGGAAGCCTCAGAGGACCCCAGTAAATGATCACAAGTCCCAAAAAGACTGGTATGGAAGGAGCTTCAGGTGCCTATGCCCCTTCTGCTGCGCTGTGTCCTCCATAGTCCCTGTCCATTTCTGTTCAAGGCTCAGACGTGCAGAAGAAGGGTGGGCAATGTTAAACTAGTTAAGACCCATCGTTTACTGAAAACCCTGAATGCTCTGTCTTAGCCTGAGGGAGCAGCTCTGAGACACAGTGGTCACTGACAGCAGGACCATGCAGTGACAGCAGCCAGACAGGTGAGGGACACCACAACTCACACGCCTCTGGGCCACCTCTCCTGTCCTGGTTATCAACACAATGTGCATCGAAAGGCTAAAATACCAGGCCCTCCATCAAGGACACCTGCCTTTTGGGCACTCAGCACATGCACCCTCTTCTCCCAGCTACCCCAAAAGTCTTTCCACACCAGCATCATCTTGCCCAGAACTCTCAGCACCAAACGTGAATCTTGCACCCTCCTGCCCACCCTGCACTGTGCTGCTTGCCACATGGCTAAGCCTTGAGCTCAAGTGTGGTCCAGGAGCAAGGCCCCCTCCAAGGGTCCCCCAGGAGTGGAGCCATGGAAGGACCTACCCCACATCCACAGTGGCAAATTTCTGCCGGAATGCCAGAGTGCATGGGCTGCACAGGGAGACCCTGCAAGGGTCAGCCCCTCCTTCACTTGCTAGTCTTGTCTGCCCTGCCGTGAGCGGGGCCCTCCCCCAGATCCTTCTGCCAGCAAGGACTAAGATTTGTAAAATCCTTCTGCCAGCAAGGACTAAGATTTGTAAAATCCTTCTGCCAGCAAGGACTAAGATTTGTAAAACCCAAGCCAAATCAACCTCTCCTTTAAGGTACAGGGATCTTGTATTTTGTGCCAGGGAGGAGGAAAGTGACGAGACCACAGACCCAGAGGCCAAGTTACCTTGGTATCACCTTGGCCACACAGAAAGTGCATGGTCACTGGACGCCTCCTGGCCTTTGTCCTCCACTTCTCACTTCA